GCTCATCTGTATGGGAGATTATAATGTACAGGGGGATTTTTCCTTTCTCCCTTGAGTTGCATTTTGATTATTTTAAGGAGTTGTTCTTTAGACCTAAGACATAAAGTCCCTTCTGTTTTATTCCAGTTTATTTGTGCATTTACCTCCCTAAAACTTGTTTGGTTTACTACCATACTAAATGCTGTATGCATTTCTTTCAGCCAGGCAAGCCTTACGCTTCAATTATGGAGGAGTTTATTCAGCACCTGTATTGCGTTGTGCTTCTTTTCAACTAAATTTCCATTTCTCAAAGGCAGTATGTATGAATGTGTATACATCATTTTTTTCCCCTGTATTTATACACAACACAAATTTATACATTTATACGTATATACAAATATATCACCTTAATTGAATGCACATCTTCATTGCACTTCTGAATTTCTGTGGTATCCAAAACATTTATAAACATTCTTAGACTTAACAAGGTTTTAATCTTTCTATCATCTATCTTTGTAATCAAACATAACAATATAATGAATGGGAGCCTTGTTTACCTACCTCATAGGTACTTTAAATTCCAAAATTATTTATACTTTTGAGAAGGTAGAGTGGTAAAGGAACTAAACTATTCTTTTCTTACTGCGTATTTCTAGCTGCATTGAATACTTATCAAGTGAGGTTCGGGTCAGGCGGGTACATCGTACTAGCCACAGGACTGCAACAGTGGATGCTGGGGAAGTTTTGGGGGGTTTGTGTTTACCCCTCTCTAAACAAGGCTGGAAAGAATGTTGTAGCTCTCAGGTCCATGAAAGACGCTTTCTTTCTTGCTGTATGCTGTCTCCACTCTTTTAAGTGCGCTCACTCACGTGTTTCAGTAAATCTCAGTTAAGTGTACAATGCTGATTTCTTCTGACTTCCTAAATAGAATATTATGGAGACCTGTGTGTTTTAAATTAAAACACATTTCAGATCTTGGTTACAAGCATGCTTCAGTAGAAAAGGCTGTTTAAACCTACTGGGACAGTCCTATATTTAGATTACATTAATTCATAAATATTATACTAAATACCACTTAAATTGGCCTTAAATGACTTCAAAGATAATGCATTATAATATGGCTGTCCTGAGAGCACTAACCTTTATGTCTCCCAGTAACTCAGCCTTTAAGCATACACCACTGCTAGATAAGAAGGGGGGAAGTTATGAATGAATGGCTTGCTAAATTGTTCGAGTGTGATTAGTTAACTCCATGCGCGCGCGTGCGTGTGTGTGAGCGCGTGGGTGGGTCAGCTCTCCCCGGTAGATCTCTACCCGCAGATCCCAGCGCACAGCCTCTTCCCAACCCTAGAGCAAAGTGCCACAGCAGAAGTGCGTTTCTGCCCCGTGTGGAGAGAAGCGAGGATGGGGGGAATATGTAGCAGCAATGCTTGTTGCCATGAAAGATTCTTTTCTCAGAGAGCTGGCAATTCTTTTCCATATTTCCTCACATGCTGCTTCCCCTATACTCTCTTCTACATTTGTGTGTCTGCAAGAGAATTGTGCTCCCCTGCCTCTTTCCTGGTACCTGGTGTGGCATCAGACAAGGCTGCTGGTGAGAGTACCTAGGACTTCACTGTCCCTTTCTAACAGGTTTGTTTTTTTTTTTCTTTTTTTTTTTTCTTTTTTTTTTTGGCAAAGAGGGATAGTTATATACTTTACCTTCAGGTTCTTAATTTTCAATTTCCTTCTGATATACAGAAGCCTCACCACAGGATCCCTTCATAATATTTTGAATCATACACATCCCATGCTCTCATTTCAGTGGACTTACACCTGAAATGACTCCGGTTGCTATGTTTTTACTCTACGCTAATTCCCTTCTCTTCCCTTCCTGAAACACAAACCCACCTTTTCCCTCTCCACACCTAAGATTTGCTTTCTGTACACTTAAATAAACTACAGCCCACAATTAACCCTTCAAAGTATATTACTGTCGCAGCTTCATCCTCTGGATAGGCAATTTTATCAACTGAGAGTGATGGATCAATTAATGTACAAACATGATGCATCACTTACGGAAAGCATTTTGGAGTTTCATATTGCCATCCTACCCCTGAGAACCAGTTGGACTGTCTTTGTGCAGCTCTTCACCTATGCCTCCAGCAAAGCCAAAACAGGGAGATCTGAGTGAATACTATGTTTCACATGATTGAATTTAGAGAAGGGGAAAGAGAAAGAAAACATTAAAAATGAAATGAAATAAAATGAAATAAAGTAAAAAAGCCAAACACAATCCTCATCCTTCAAAGCCCCATCATGCCTTTTGACTTAATAGTAATTAATCACTACAGGCAAGAAAGTAATTTTTTTTCCAGGTAGCCAGAGGCACATTTTTATCAGGATTAGCTAATAAATCAGTGGCATTGCTAGAAAGGAGTTCAAACTCTTCTTGGATTTACTAAATAAAACCGATCTCTGAAGCGTCGGCAACTGGGTGACTATTGAAGCTTCAGTCAAAACCTAATCTACGGTATAACAATCAACATCATCATTTTTCATTACAAAGTACAAAACTTCTAGGGTGTTAAAAATGACTGTTTCTTTCAAGACATCTTTCATACATTTTGGTTTCACAATGTAACAAGAAATCCCACCTGGAATATTTCCTATTTTTCAGCTTTAAAACAGAACTGAAATGAATGGAAATGAAGTTAGTATCTTGTTTAATTCAGGAATATGTGTTAAACATATCCAAGCAAGATAAATGATCCTTCTCTCTCTCTGTCTCTCCCTCCCCCCTGCTTCCTGAGTTTGTCTTTATGAATACAGGCATACAGTAAAAGCAAAACTGAGCAACATTTCCATCTATGAAACAGAAATTAAAGTTATTGCATGGACTGATTAATTATATGTTTCAGGTAGAACAAAGCAAAAGAATTAATTTTCATCAACCAATCAAAAAAACCCATCCCCATTAAAAAAAAAAAAAAAAAAAAAAAAAAAAAGCCACCAAGCCACCAAAACCTTTACCCAGATGTTGTCTCAAACATTTCATCTATCCTATCCTGAGTGATTCTCTTCAGTGTAGCTTATACTGCTGTTATTTTTTTTTTTTTTTTATGGAAACCTTAGATAATTTTTGCAAACACATGTGTACGCACGGGCTCACTGGCTACTCACTATACCTCATCTATTAAACAAAACCTCCCAGGACCTTTCCTTCCCTGTTCTTTGTACTATTATTTTAATGTTATTATTAATAATTATTATGGAGTGAATGTCATGTTTAGAAGATGTCCATCAGACCTTGATGTGTCTTCTAGGCAGGTAGTCTGAAAGGAAAGCTAGGTTCAGAAGGGACAGACTGATGACTGCAAATATGAGAAGGGTGTTTGGAGCAACCGGCAATACCCTATAACTTGTGCTGAGACCCAGTCCCCGAGCCCTGAATGTTTCTACCCTGTATGACACTGGTACTTTGCACTGCCAGGGTATATTTAATTCACATTTTCTAAAGGTGGAGAGGAGGGGAGTGAGTGGGAAAGAAATGCCTCCTAAACATCCTGTTAAGTTTAAGATTTACAACTTGCCAAGGCAGCTGGAAAGCTGGGAAGCCACTAATGCCGTTCCCCGTGACTCTCCCTGCCAGGAAAGAATCGGCTGGAGTAGACGTTGTTATTGAACCTCTCTCATAACAGATACAACTTCTACTCGCCCCGTGTTCCCCTGCACAACCCTTTTTCCTCCTGCACTATGTCTGGAATAACACCCTGCTTACTTTTGGTCTTTTTTTTTTTTTTTTCCCTCCCCTGTCCCACCCCCCCAAATAGCTAGATATCTTATGAAATAAATACACACACATACATGCACATACACACGCACACATGCATTATATATACAGATCCTGAATTAATAAAGTGACTTGCTACGCTCCCACTACTAAGCTATGTTACCATGCAAATTATCTTTAACTTCCTCTATGTGAGTCCTACTTTCCCATCCAGTGATCTGAGCATCTCCCCCACCACCACACACTCCCTCCCCCACCCCAAAATGTAGCATCCTCTAATCTGAAATGCACCACTGGAGAGACTAAACAGGGAAAGGAGCAGACAAAGCTGGAGAGAGCAAGGCATTGCATGGAGAGCATGTCTTTACTGCTTTGAAAGCAAACCCAAAAAGTTCCCGAGATGGACTTTGGGCACAGTAGAGTAGTGTTAGTAATGTGCCTGCTCAGAGACTTCTCTGTTCTGGAACTGAACTGCAACCCAACCCTCCTGGCTTGCCCTCTCCAACACATACTCACTTTGTGATTTTATATTTCCCTCCCTGTCAGAGATGTTTTTATTTTTATTTTTAATTTGTTCTTATATCTCTGTTCCGATGCTGAACAAAACCTAAATGAACACCCCCTGCACACCCCTGACAAATCACTCTCCTCTACCATCAGTTTCGGTGCAGACTACAAGTAAGAACCCTAACAGTGTTAAAAATGAAAAGAAAAAAAGTAAATAAATAAATAAATAAAAGAGAAGAAGAAAATGCAAAGGTGCCAGTGCCCGATACACAACTGTTGTAAAATAGGAGCTTTTCAGCTCCGCGGGAACACGCGGACAGACGGACACACACCCCTGAGTGGAAAATGTGCAGCTCCCAAAGATAAATAAAGAAATCCTCTTAATCTTTTTCAGCACCACTAGCGTGTGGACAGCTGCCTGCCAACCCAGCCTCCCGCTCCGGCTCTCGCCTGGACTCTCAGGCTTTCGCAAGTGGCAGCATCTTGCCCCTCTAAAAGGGGGAAAGACATAAAAATACTAAGAAATAAGCCAAAGGCAGCTGACCCCCTTCTCCGCTTCTCTCTCTTCTCTTTCTAGGAGGGTCTATTATTTCTTTCCCTGCCCCCCAAGCCTGCCGCCTCCGCCCCCGGCCAGCCAAAAATGAAATAAAATGAAATCGAAAGGAAAGAGAGATCCAGAGAGGGAGTGAGAACCTGCCTTCTTCTCCCGATCTCTCCCGGGAAAGTTCAGGAGGTAACTCACCTTTGTGCATGCCAGTGAACCTGTCCTTCAGCACCGTCAGTTCATAGATCTTCCCGAACTCCTCGAAGAGCGGTTTGAGGTCTTTCTCGTCCAGGTTACGGGGGATCTGCCCAATAAAGAGCTTAATGGCATCGTGGTCCTTCATTGGGATGGTGGATGGGTTTCCGGGACTATGGTTTAATCCGTTCATATGCCCGTTGGTGCTGGGGTTGCTGTGATTGCTACTCAGGCTGGTATTGTCTGGTTGTCCGTTTGCTAACGTGGCCATCTTTATATACATAGAGAAAATCTTCTTTCCTTTTTTTCCCCCTCTTCTTTTCTCTCTCCCTCTCTCTCTCTCTCTCTCTCCCTCTCTCTCCCTCTCTCTCGCTCTCCCTCTCCCTCTTTCACACACACACACACACACTCACACACACACACACTCCTCCCTCTCCGTCTCTCTCTCTCTCTGGGTCTGATCTGATTTTTTTTTTACATTGAAGATCTGTGTCCTTTCCGTTTAAACAGGCTGGATCGGTTCAAATTCCCAGCCAGACTAGGGGGTGGGGTGTGAGTGTGTGGATGTGTGTGTGTGCGGGGAAGGAAGGCTGGGGGTGGGGGATTGCTTTTGCCTCTACTCTGCCTAAACCCCCTCCTCCCATCCAACCACCCCCCCCGTCTGTCTGCCCGGGAGAAGCTCAATGGTATCTTCCAACACAGCCCCCGGCTATAAATAGCACTAGGCGCATGGCTCTTTGAGAGACAGTCAATTTCTATTGTGCCAAGTGAGCAAAGGGGAACGGTTGCGTTTTTAGGACCAATGATGATGATTTTTTTTTTTTTTTTTTCCTTTTCTTTTGCAAGTCCTCCGATCAATCGCTGTCGTTATAATTTCAGTGATCATCGGGAAATCTGCCTTTCATTTGAGAGGGGGAAAAAAAAACACAAACCCAAGGTGTTCTGACTTCTTCCTATTATGATACTGTCTCTTATTTATTATTTACTCTTATTATGAATTTGCAGTTGATAATAAAAGCAGTTGAGATACGGACGAATCCTCTGTCTCAGAGGTTGCTTTTGCTATTGTTGTTGTGGTTGTGATGTTACAAGCTCTCTTTACTATATTTGTTCTTGTTGCATCTAAAAAAAATGCATGCTCTTTATGCTCTTATTTTTAAAATTATACTGCCGATGATGACATCAGGCTAGGAAAGGCACAAACTGTATTGTTGTAGGTCTTCAGAGAGAGAGAAAAATAGCGAGATGACTATTAATTTTCATGCTGCTGATATTTATTTTACGTACAGTCAGTGCGGGTGTTATCTCCTCTGTGTGTGTGCGTGTGTGTGTATTGGAAAGGGATTGATTAGATAAGATTTTCTTGCCCGACTTTCAAGCCATCAGGATATTCTGTCTCTCTCTGATGGAAACATAAATCGCATTTTGTAGTCATCAGGGATCGGGAGTTGCTTGTCCGGACAATGCTCTCTAGACAAAGTGTACTGTATGGTGGAAATGAAATCAGCTCTCCTTTCATAGCATCCAGGGGTGGGAAGGGCAGGGAGGCTCGGATTAAGGACACAACTCCCCCTTGTCCCCCAAATAATAATAACAATAATCCGGACGGTAACAAAACAAGGCGCTGCGTGTGCTCAGAGCAATTTCCCTGCCTTTTTCTCCCCCCGGCTTTCCCGTGCGAGCCGTGCGGGGATGAAGCTCGGAGAAGCACCAGCAAGCGAGCCGGGAGCAGCCTGTGAGTTACCTGGGCTGAACCCCCCAAGCCCCGCGCTCCGGATGCAGCTCCCCGGCGACAGGTTATCCCCACTACCGCCGCGCTGTTCGCAATCCCCCGGCCCCACTCCCGCCCCAGGCCGCCTTCAGGCACCGCGGGGGCTTCGGGCCATTGTTCCCGGCGCCGCCGGCTGTTCCCCGCGGCAGAGGCGGCGGCGGCCCCTGGGGCCGAGCTGGGAGCGGGACCCCTCCGGCCGGCAGTCCCCCGAGAGCTCCGGGCAGGGCATCGGGAACACGTGTGGCTGTAAAAGGAAGGGGCAGCCACGGAGGAGGGAGGTTATTAGTTACAATTCGCGGCGTTCGTGAGTGTTTTATTGACCGGAATTTATTTTTATTTTTGTTTAAAAATAATAAGAGGAAAAAAAAAGAGA